AATTTTTATGAAGCCACTAAAAGTTTGTTCTTCTATGTTGGGTTCAATTTGTACTTCATAACTGAGTGGAACGATTTCCTTTGGTAAGCGATCCTCTGAAATCCCCATGTAAAGAGAAGAGACATCTATATCTCTTTTAACAGTTGCCTGAAAAGGAGATACATAAATTATAACGACTTAAAACAATTTAAATGGATAACAACTTTTAAACGTTTTGGTGGATTAATTAAAAAATAATTTAAAACTCTTACCTTTATTTGAGTTGCACAAAGTAGTAAAATCCCGAAAATGTAGATCCCTTTAATGTTGGTCATAGCTAAATATGCTAAAGAGAAACATAAGTAAAAACAGTATTAAATCATTATAACTTGTTTAAAGCACCAAAGATAACTTACGTCTCTACAAGAATGAATATGAATACCTTTGAGAGTTGCGTGATCGGCGATTTTTATGTCGAATTAGTTCATTGGTTCGGATTGAAGATGAGGCATATAGCCATGATGCTTTTTGTGCTTCGTAATGATAAATGGTGTGATGCATGCTGGCGGATGACCGGACAAAAGTCTAATGGAAGATACATAGTATGAGTAGTCTGTAGAGTAATAGTAAAATTGATCATGTCATTCGTGGTAGAGAGTTGGAAAACATCGAGAACTTCATCTGAGAAAATTGGAAAGCACTTTATAATTAAATTTTTAATGAAAGCTGCGGAGTACATTTATGCGAAGTACATTTATTCTTTCTTGTTCTCTACGTTGAGCAAGGTGGTCACATATTTTAAAGATACATTTATACACATTTTCCCATCCCATTTTGCACTTACTTACACAAAAGTTGATGTGTATATTAAATGTTTCTCGAAATTCAAGAATAGCAGTTCCGGATATTTTGGATGCGTTATCATTACTAAATATATTACTCAACAGTTGAAGATTTCGTGGTTGTGATAAACATACATGTACACAAATCGTGCACAGTAGGTAACAATAGACCAATTTATTTTAATAATTTCATTTCAACGGTATATTCTGAATTCTTCTTCATATTATTATAATAGTATCATGATGAAAAATGTATTTATTGGGGTGAACACCAATTTAGATTTTTTAAACAGATATATTTATCCGAATTAATTGTATCTACCAGGAAACCAACAGCTTTCACATGATGTTGAAGTTGAAGTTGATGAAGTTGATATCACGCAAGCCTTCACACATGATTTAGTTACTCTAGCTCTTATCTTACAAGGGACTATTTTTACAAATCCATAAAAAAACGTGGTGGAACGTTGTGAGACGAGTTCTTTAATTTCTTCAATTTAATCCTCGATTATTTCTTAGTTATTTTAAATTGTGGCTTTTAAATCTTATGTAATGTAAAATATGTTGTTTAAAATGATTTATAGTTGTAATTTTATTATATTTATACATGCATTACTTGACGGAAAAGTATTGGAGCGAAACCTATGTCACTACCCATAGTCTCTTTCTCTTTAAATCCTTTCAATGATTCTCTTGTTATTATACAATTTTCTGTTTCCAATCACGTTTTCATTTATTTGTGCCACCAAAAATATAATGTTGTAGCTATGAGAAAAATACAGCATACGCCCAACAAAGATAGTGAGCCTAACACTGTCATGATATCCAAAGAACCATCTTGTATTTTCCTTGAGCCTTGTGAGCCTTTTGAGTCTACAACATAAGCAAGTGGGGTCAAGTGTGTTATAAGACAAATCACTATATCTTCGCTTATTTCCGAATTGTTGGACATTGATATACCATCTGTAGCCCATTCACCATAGTTCCAGTAGTGACAATACTGCTCTGAATCACTTTTTTGATGATTGTGTGTCCTTCTTAGAATAAGCGGCAGTGCCTCAGGCAGATTTCTATTGTAACCAGGTATGGATATTGATACGACACGACTCAATACAGTTTTTTCAACATTATTCTGTTGAAAAAGATTGTCGTTTGAGTATATTTTAATAACCACTATAGGAGGGATTTTATTTATTTGCTTAAAAATTGTTGAAAAAGTTTCGAGACGATTTAAGAGAGTGTTTGGTACATACGTAGCAAGTAGTAAATTTGAGTCATTGATGAAGTCCTCGATGTCATGATTCGATTGCAAAAATCGAAAATGCTCATTGTAAAATTCACCCTTTAACATTTCTGGAGCTTCAACATTTCTATCATTATTAAAAAATGCTATTCCAGAAACATTTGAAACCATGGGATTAATATAAAAGTAGATGAAACTATGGGAGGCTTGTACGTATACACCAATGTCAACGTAGTCGAAAACTTCAAAATCAAACTTAGATTCAACATCTTCTTCAACGAAGCTGTTTTGGTCGAAATATTTTAAGACTGAAAGAGCATCAATGGAATTTTCAAATGTTTCTAAGAATTTGTTGGTTGAATTTAGTTCTGCTGACAAACTAATTACGTCTGTATCTAAGCCTGTAAGGAAATTGTAGATTTCTATGATGTCATCAATTAACTTTGTCCATTTTGTAGAGTTTTGAGTTACATCTAAAACTAACCCATTAGAAGAGATTACATTTGGAATGGTAAGATTCCGGAGAGAGACTTGAACAATATTAGATATTAAGTGTACATCGCAAGGAGCAATTTCCTTCTTGTTTTCTTTAATTAAGTTTCTCGTTTCTTGTAAAACTCTTTCTGGTGTTATTTCTCCCATCAGCATTTTCTCCAGCTCATATAAAGTTTTTGTAATATCTTGAGCATTTTCACAACTGATAGATTGTGTTAATGGTTCCCAATGTGCCCCGTGTACAAAGTCTCCTGAGCATAGTCTCGTATATGGAATACCATTGCTTTGAAGGCATAAAGTCTGTGCCGTTCCCTTTTCTCCCCTACGAACCTGCGTCCATTGACTTTCCATTAAGTTTTGTGACGAAAAAACTTCGGGGAAACAGTAGTCTGTACTACGTATTACATTAATTAAGTTACCATAGAAATTAATTAGTTTTTTGTACACATGAAAACTTGAAAACGTTTCGTGATTAATTTTTGAACCATTTTTAAGGATGTCTTCGGCATTTAACTCCTTTCCACTCTTATTAGAGACCATTAAATGAGCCCAACAAACCATTGACAGTTTTGTAACGCTCTCAATATTCATAATACGGACATTACGTATAACAAGATCATTAAGACTATCTATCGCGCTCTTGGGTAACAGATTTTGTATTATCTTACCAATTTGTTCAGGACTTTTGTTAATGCTAGTACATATATTAACAATATTTTCATTATTCTGATAAATACATGGGATATCTAACCGCGTAGCAAAGGTATGCCCGCGCATCTTCTTGAAAGCTATCAACCGTTTAGTGGATACCCACTGAAAATTAAAAATTGTATGACCTTCACACCAATACTCTCCTGGACCATCTTCAACTAATGTTAGTTTAAAAATTGAACGAGTTTTCAAGTCATTTTCCCAAAGAAGAACAGTCGAAGTTGTTTTTAAAAGTTCATAGCCTGCATTATTAAAACATTGAACACCAATGTCGTTGTATCCATTAGTCCATAGGTAATTGCGGTTGTAAATCACTAGTATTAACTCTCTTAAGCTTTCATCGAACTTCAATTTCATTAAGAGTGGCGATAATGGTTTTATAATCTCCTTACTCAATACTGGAAACCAGTTTGAGTTTTCATAAGCAACTTTTGTGTCTTCATGTTTATTCATTATAATCATATATTTGTCAGAAAAACTATCAACAAAGCTATCAACTTTAAAAAAATAGTTCTCTTTTTCTTGAGGAATCAACTCTTGCAGTACCATTCTAATCAAGTTTCGTTTTTCAAAGTATTCACTGATGTGCACTTGATTTTGGACTTTCTCATTCCAATTAATACCATAGCATTCATTTGGCTGATAGCTTAAAGCACCAAATCCTTCTGGACATCCTGAATTAGATAAAAAACTACGCTTAAAAACACAGACAGTGTGCAAGAGTGTGTTGCAATCACTCAATTCAGTTGTTAATCTGTCGATACTGTGCCTTAAGCAGTGAAGATCAGATTTGAAATCAGCTACTGGTATGTCTTCGTCAATGACTCTCCGCCACCGTTCTCCTGGCAAATTTATCATGAATGGCATAAACGCATTGTTTCGCTTTATTGGCAACCAATATTCATTAATCCTCTTTTCTTTTAAAATCATCATAATTGGGTTCATTTCAGATGATGATAGATCCAATGGTATTATTGTATTTGAACCGTAGCAGGCGGTTTCATTATACGCTTCCGGCAGAGTTGAAATTTTTAAACAAATCGGGTCATCATCATTTTGTTGAATTTCAAAGAGGTTATCCGGACAAAATACATTTTTATTTTTTTTCTCGTTGCACTCTACTGCTTTTGGAAGCCAATGACCAGAGTTGGTATCGCACTCGCGTATTAACAGCTGACCATCTTTTTTCCAGCAAAGAACGCCCTGAGATGTTGTGTAACGCAACCCCTTATGTTTCCAATTTGCCAATCCTTCATTTGTTTTAGTGGTGTTGTCGTCACAGATGTGTAACTAATCGAATACAATAAACGGAATCATTTTCATAAGCATCTTAGTATGGTAGCATTTTTCTTTAGCATTTTCCTCACCGAGTTTGTTTGAATACATTTACAACTTATGCACCATAAATAATACAAGAAAATTATTCTTAGAGCATTTAACATGATTTTTAACTGTTGAAAACACAACAAGCGATATCTTTTGCCTTAAAATGAATGTATCTAGCAGAACAAAATATTCACTCCTTATCTTTAATAAGATAATCTTCTCAAAACTGATATCTCTGTTATGAATGTAAAATACAACGAAAGTCGAAATTTGAATACTCTTCTGGTGAAGCGATCTCTACTAACCTTATAGGTTAAACTGTCAATTAAGTTTTGTTAAAGTTAGAACCATATATGAGTGGACCAGATTTATCAGAAATTGATAGAATTTGAAGCATAGTTGTGTGTGTGGGTGGGTTGGCTTGGTTGGTTGCTTGACTACTTGAAGGACAACTTGTGCATTTTCTTGGAAAGCACGGGCAGGTATTTCTGCATCTCATCCGGATTGGTCCAGAAGGCCATCGAGCTCTTAAGCTTGGCGCACGGTGGACAACCTCCTTGAGTATGTAATCGTTCTCGAGCTCATGATGAAAGCGTGTATCCCTCATGCGCATCAGGACATCGTCGATGCGCAGGAAATGACGGAGAACTATGAAGAAGCCCGAGGGCATGACCCGAATGCGCACACTCATCACTGAGATGCCGTGATCGTGTAGCTCATCCTCGAACAGGGTCAGCTCTGTGTCTAATATGATATTCTCGCGTTGCATTAACTTTAACTTGTTTAACGTCATATCGGTGCTCTCCGATCGAATCTTCTCGTTCATGGTGCCCTGATAGGTGGACGTGAATGTCCATTCGAACGGCTTGATCTTCTCCATTGTCTGCGCCGGACGTGCATGACGCCATTCCTGGGCACAGGCCACCTCCAGGGGCTGCGGCTGTTTGCTTTTGTCGACCAGGGACAGGGCATCCATCGACTTGAACTCCATCAGAGCACCGTCCTTGTGCTGCATCACCAGTTTGTTTTAATGGAACACCATTTTGGGAAGGTGGGGCATGTCCAGCGAGTTTTGATAGAGGCAGAGTTCGCAGCGACCGTCGTCCTTGTCGCAGAACTTGGTGCTGCCCTGCTTGTAGATGCTCTCCAATATGTGCGACTTTTCGTAGCTTATGTTCCAGTCATGGAAGCGAATGGACTCGCCGTCAACCGGCAGCCTGGACACCGCGCAATCTTTGTCCATCTTCGTTAGCTTCAAGTTTTTATTCGCTAAAATCAAATTCTAAAACGTATATAAAACGAGAAGGGACGTGTGAGACGCTTCTTACGCGTCACAACTTTTATACCCGGCACTCAGTACTACATCTGAACCTTAGCGGTGTTTTGTCAAATTTTAAATATTTTCTTCATCTGTCATCTACATCTACAACACTTCTCACACCAACACGCTCCGTTAGCTCGCCGCTCTTCCCTAGACCCACACACTGCAGACTCGCGGCTGAGGCAGAAGCAGCGCCCGCACACCAGGCACCCGCAAAGTCGACCCACGCAGTGGCAAGGGGACGGCAAAGACAGGGGCCGAGTGAAGCAGAAGCAGAGTGTGAATGAGAGAATGAGAAAATAACAACAAAAGCTGCGGGACAGGGTGGGTTTAGCCACTGGAAATAAATTTCTTCATTGGGGTTATAATGATCCAATCCGATCCAAATTTGGTGATCTGATAGATATGGCCATTCCCTACGGAATGGTTTTAGTTTTTAGTTTAGTTAGGATAATTTAGTTTAGGATTTAGTTTTCTTTTATCTTCACAATTGTAGATTTGGGAGGTTTTCGCCCTTTTGCGGGGGCGGAAGGGGGCGTGGCTCATTTTTTAAATACACTTGTAACAGTGTGAGCATACAGAAGTCTCGATGCAAAATTTTGTGGCTCTAGCTTTTGTTGTCTCTGAGATCCAGGCGCTCAACAAGACGGACGGACGGACAGACAGACATGGCTCAATCGACTCGGCTATTGATGCTGATCAAGAATATATATACTTTATGGGGTCGGAGACGTTTCCTTCTGTGTGTTACATACATTCACTTTGTGCACAAATACAATAATATAAAAAAACGTGGTAACTAATCTGAGTTTGAATTTGTAGCCGCGAAACGCACTTCTGTATTTTTCCTGTGCGAATCGCTTGTTTTTTCGCAAACATCTCATAACCGAATGGTTGACCAAAATCAACCCTAGAACCAGTTATAGAGGTCGTCAACATGTTTAAGATATATTTCAATTTCAAAAGAGGAGGCAAGTACGTGGAGAAAACATACCAGAACTTCAAAATATAGGGGAAACTCCAATGGGCACTTGACCGATACAAAATCGATATCAATAGTTAGAATGGGTTACAAATGTCGTTTGTTCCTAATTAATATACTTTTAATTTTGATTTGGAAACATATAATGCAATTACCAAAACGATAGAATATTTATTACAAATATTTTAATTTCCATGAGAAAGATACATTTTTTTAAGACAAATATTGCAAAACAAAATGGGATTGAAACCCTATCGACATCAAGAAATTACAAAAAATTTGAATATATTAAGAAACGCTTACACCGAAGTCTCATAGAAAATATGGCACTTGAGACACATTGGTATATTCCGTTATTTCGAATTCCATGTCAATATTCAGCTTTTACCATAATTGATGCTACACAGTTTTTAGTAAGAGGTAGAAGAACAGTGAGGACACCATTCCCGAGTTCCACGCTTACACCGAAGTCTCAGTGAAACACATTGAAATAGTCCGTTATTTCGAATTGTATATCAATATTCAGCTACTACCATAATTGATGCTACACATTTTTTAGTAAGAGGTAGAAGAACAGTGAGGACACCATTCCCGAGTTCCATTTCTTACATTTATAATCATCCCAACAGTCACGCTATCTTGACATATCGGCCATACATATCGAACCAATAACATTAGCTCGTTAACGATATTCCGAAATTGTCATATTCATATGCATACGTAGAACACCTCAAAATCTAAGTTTGTTTGGAATATTCAGTCAAAATGGCTTCCGCAGGTTTGAAAATCAATTTTTTCATTATATTAGTATCCGTTGAGTATTCAATGTGTTAGTTGTATATTTTGGAGTGGTTTTAAATTTTACTAGTAGAAAGTTGTATGTCTAGCATCCGCGTGGTTTTATGTCAGACACGTAATACAAGCATATGAACACAGATACATATGCATATATTTTAAATATTATATTACTAATATCTACCAGTGCATTTATTTCATAATGTCTGGTATGTTTAAGTATTAATTTTAATTTCAAGTGTATTTGCCTCAAAATAAAGTGAATTCTTTTATTCCTTAGGAAAAAAGGGTAAAAAGAACAAGGGAACAGTAATTTCTCTGCAATCGTTTCTTTCTAATGGTGACACACCAGCTGGAACAACTCAAGTTTCGAAAAAAATAAGAAACTTGGATGGCGATGATAGTGATGACGGAAGTAGCACATTACCTTCAGTTTATCAGCTGCCCACTGCGCCTCGAGCAAATCGGATATTTGATGATAATTCCATTCCGCACAGGCCTCCTTTCATAGCTTACATCAATAACTTGCCTTTCGATGCGAACGAAGACGACCTCTATGAATTTTTTGGGTCCATAAACTTGATTTCGTTGAGGTTACCACGGGAAGATGGTGAAAACGGACGTTCCCGTGGTTTCGGCTATGTGGAATTGGAAAGCAGGGACGATTTAATTCATGTTCTCAGCTTGCCAGACCCATCCATCAAAGGACGTCGCATTCGTATTGAGTTGTCGAATGAAAATGACCAACAAAACCGTCAAAAATCGAATCGTCGCTTTGAAGGGTTTGGTAATAGCAGTGACAATAGAGACTCGGTGAATTGGAGGCGGGATAGTCAAAATAATGGCAGTAGTTCTGGTGGATATGCTGCGAATTTTGACAGAAGCTTTAACCGGGAAAGGAAGCCTATAAGTGAACGAGAAGATTCTAACACCCCTGGATCTTGGCGCACAAGCGTAAGACCTCAATCCAATGATTATTCGCCTCCGCGGAGAGACTATGATCAAAGTAATGATAAATATCGAGATGGTCGCGGAAAAAATATTGAACGTTATGTACCAGATGACGATTCTAAACAAGAAGAAAGACCAAAGCTGAACTTGAAACCTCGAACGCTACCGTTGCCAGATATAAAGACAAACCCAGATTTGGAAGATGCTGCTGAGGTCAATGAAAGAAATGTTTCTAAGCAGGGCGCAACACCATCAGTAAATGTGTTTGGATCAGCTAAGCCTGTAGATACAGCTTCTAGAGAATTAGAGATCGAAGAAAGATTAGCATACGCTCGGAGGCAAGACAAGATTCGACAGGAAGAAGAGCATTTAACTGAAAAACTGTCAGAAGTTCAAATAGATAAAAATGAAAATGAGAGTATCAATCCAGCTGTCAATTGGCGCCAAAATCAAGAGAGCAGCGACGATAACAAACAAGGTAAATACTCAGTTTTATGACGAAAACATTTGAAATAATTATTATTTTTTAAATATGTATAACAAAAAAACTCTTATATTTTAAAAACTTTTTTTAATAGACGATAGACGTCGTGATGATGTTAATAGGTCTAACAAAGCTCGTGACCATGACAGGTGAATATAAATATTAAGATAATAAAAAAAGTGTGATTATTTAAATAGTGTATTAAATCCTCATTAATAACAAATGCGATATGATTATCATGTCAACCCTTTAAATAAAATGTCTGGGAGATTGCCTTCAGCTCGTGTTGCTGATAATTTGCCTCGCTTTGCATCTTACGGCGTTTCAGAATGATGAAATTCATTTGCTGTGGCTACCCCTCAAATGCGTCTCACAACGTTCCTCTTCTTTTTTTTAGTTTGCCTTTTGCATTTACGTTTTCTTGCGGAAACAACTGATATTTTAATCCTAAATAGTAAAGTTAGATCGATTCTCGCTCTGTTCCCCCCGGAACGAATTTTAGGCTCAGTCTTCAATTTTGTGTTACATTTGTCTAACATTTTCCAAAATTATGCTTTTCCTAGATCTGAAAATGTAAAAGGAAAAACCGGCTCCAACGACGAGGGAAAGTACAAAGAGGATAACAAAAACACACGCAATGATCGGGAACTGCCCAAGTATCATCCTGACCAGACTGGACCAGTAAGTAAACTAGCTCTTTTTAAAGTTCATTAAAGCCGGTACTCAACAAGTACAGAGTATTTTCGACCCTACAAAGTATATATTTTTCATCAGCATTAAACGCCTAATCTAGACAATTCTCTAACCAACATCCTGCCTCTATGTACGATGGAAGATAACTTTTTATTATTAATTTGATCCCTTGAAACTGCGACTGTGAGAGCACTTCGACCGGGGTATGCCGCCGCGTAGAGTAAGGTGCCACAAGTACCGATATGGGTACCGGAATTGGATAGCTTCCTGTAGAGTCGTCTATAAACCCGCTCGTGTCTATACGTAGCTGGGCGTGGATCGGATCTTCATTGGCTGCTTGACAGCCTGTTTTTCCTTTTACTAAACTATTTTTTTCACTTTTATTTTATAAATGAATTGTATTTGTAATTGATCTTTAATCAGAAATTATTTTATTTTGTTTCAGGTTCTGCAATCTTCCAACAAATATTCTGGACTTGACGACGAAGGATCTGATTAAATAAAAACCTAATGTATGCTTCTTATAAAAGATTAAATGAATTCAAATAAAGAAATTAAATATACCTTAACTGTTACTACATTTATTTATTTTGTTTCCCCAAGGAAACAAAACGAATTTTTTTTATAGATTTGATCCATTAAATTTATTTTCATGAATTATTGTCTTACCTTTTTATAAAAATGTATTATTTGGCTATGCTTTTTCCCAGGTAATGGTTATTTTAACGTAAATATCTTACATCTGGTTGTAAAGAACAGCCATTCTGAAAAGCTACTTGATACAAGCAGATACAAATTCGCTATTCTTAACTTATGTGTCTGGATGTTGATATGCATTGACCGCAAGTGGGCCATGCGACAACAAGCCGAAGCCTGTTACGCACGGAACCCGGCAGAAACGAAGCCCTGCTCCAGGCCAACCGACCGAGGGGCGCATGACGCGTTTAACCAAACCGATCGCGAACATTCGGGAAATAGAACTTGTAAACAAACATTCGTAAAAAATTAGAACTTTCTAAATGGTTAACAAAGAGCGTTTCTTAT